ATCCTTAATTAGTTTTCTTACGAACGAATGTCTAAGTCCTATATGCCTGGACTTTCCATTATACACTTCGCTAAATGCTCTTGCCAAAGTGGCCTGACTATCGCAGTGTATCATTACCTTTGAAACATTGTCTTTAGCCAATGGAACTTCCAAAAGAAGATCTCTCAACCACTCTGCCTCTTGACTAGCGGAAGCGAGAGCCACGAATTCTGATTCCATGGTTGAAAGAGTAATGCATGTTTGTTTCTTGCTCTTCCAGGAAATTGCTCCTCCAGCTAGTGTAAATATCCACCCAGTTGTAGATTTGTGATTTCCCACGTCAGAGATCCAACTGGCATCGGTATATCCTTCTAGTATAGCAGGAAACCTACCATAATGAAGGCCAAGATCTTTGGTTTTCAACAAATAACCAAATATCCTCGTGATTGCCTTCCAATGTTCATTACTTGGATTACTAGTAAATCTACTCATTTTACTAACTGCAAATGATATATCGGGTCTAGTACATTGCATTAAGTACATAAGACATCCGATCGCACTTGCATATTCTAATTGAGCCACTGCTCTTCCATCATTCTTTTCAAGTTTGATTACATGATCAAATGGAGTAGTTACTTCCTTGAATTTCAGGTGTTTGAACTTATCAAGCATTTTCTCAATATAATGTGTTTGATTAAGTTCATAACCCCCACTATTTTGCTTAACTTTTATTCCTAAAATTGTGTCAACAAGCCCAAGATCTTTCATCTTGAAAGTGGAAGTTAGAAACCTTTTTGTTTCTAGAATTCCATTAAGTCTATTGCTAATTATTAGCATGTCATCAACATAAAGACACAAAAATATTACAGTGTTATTATACACTTTTGTATATAAACACTTGTCACAAGAATTAGGAATAAATCCATTTGACATTATCGTAGAGTCAAACTTTTGATGCCATTGTTTTGGTGCTTGTTTTAAGCCATATAGAGATTTGACAAGTTTGCACACCTTCTGTTCATTTCCAGGAAGGACGTGTCCTTCTGGTTGTTCCATGTAGATTTCCTCATCGAGGTCTCCGTTTAGGAATGCTGTTTTAACATCCATTTGATGAACAATCAGATCATTTAAAGATGCTAAAGCAAACAACAACCTTATAGTGGTTGTTCTCGCTACAGGTGCATAAGTGTCAAAATAATCTATACCTTCCTTTTGTCTAAATCCTTTTGCCACTAATCTTGCTTTATAAGTGTTTAATGTACCATCACTATGATATTTCTTTTTAAACACCCACTTGCATCCAATGGGTCTTGATCCCTTTGGTAAATCAACAAGTTCCCAAGTGTGGTTGGACATAATTGAATCCATTTCATCTCGGATAGCATCTTTCCAAAAGGAGGAGTCTCTTGAAGCTATTGCTTCCTTATAAGTTTTAGGATCTTCCCCTACTTGAAGAATTACCGGAATGCTTTTAATAAAATTTGTACTATTTCCTTCAACCAGATAAAATGAAATGGATTGAGAATCAATTTCGTCTGGTCCTAGGTTCTTTATTTTCCGGACTCTTTTGCTTATCCTAGGTTCGGGTCGTGGTTCATTTATTCGAGATGTGTCTTCAGGTTGTATTTCTACAATCCGAGAAGAGTCCTTTTCACAAGATTCTTTGTTTATGGCCGACTCTGATTCTTTATCCTTAGTTATAAGGTTTTCAAAGAATTCTACATCCCGGGATTCAACAATAATATTAGACTCTAAATTTAACAGTCTATATGCTTTGCTATTTTGTGCATATCCTACAAATGCACATCTTATCCCTCGAGGACCCAACTTGGTTCTCTTAGGATCCATGTTTTTGTAATATGCCACACACCCCCACACCTTAAAGTAGCCAATATTTGGTGTCATGCCCTTCCATACCTCATATGGAGAAATTCCACTTTTCTTTAAGGGAATTCTATTTATTATGTGACAAGCGGATAATAAAGCTTCGCCCCACAAATTGAAAGGTAGTTCGGAATGCAATAACATGGCATTCATCATTTCTTGATATGTTCGATTCTTTCTTTCTGCTATGCCATTTTGTTGTGGTGTTCTAGGTGCCGAACATTCATGTATTATACCATGTTCTTCACAAAATGCATCAAATTCAGTGGAGAAGTATTCACCGCCCCTATCACTCCTAAGGACTTTTATACTTCTACTTAATTGATTTTCCACTTCTGCTTTGTAACTCTTAAAGGCATTAAAAGCCTCATCTTTATGCTTTAAGATATATACATAAGTGTATCTAGAACAATCATCAATAAATGTAATGAAATATCTATTTCCCCCACGGGTCAACATGCCATTAAATTCGCACAAATCTGAATGTACAAGATCAAGCAGATTTGTATTTCTTTCAACACTTTTGAAAGGTTTCTTAATCATTTTTGATTTAACACATAATTCACATTTATTGAAATCTTTGATATTACATGATATCAAGCCAAGTTTAATTAGTCTCTTCATTGAACTAATACCAATATGTGCTAATCTATTGTGCCATAAAGTAACTGAATCAAGCATGTAAGCAGAATTAGAAATTTCATTAATCATGTTATCAGTAATACATAGTTTGATCATTCCTTCAGCGGAATATCCTTTTCCAACAAACACACCATTACGGGTCAAGATAAGTTTGCCCGATTCATACACAGATTTAATACCCGGTTTTCCCAATAAATCCCCACTAACAAGATTCCTATTCATGTCTGGGACATGAAGCACATTAACAAGAGTAACTTTCTTTCCAGAAGTGAAGTTGAGTTCGACCGTTCCGGTTCCAACAACTTTGGATCGCACTTCATTTCCCATTTGTACTTCTTGTCCATCATTTGCCTCAGAATATGTTTTGAATGCAGCCCTGTCATATGAGACATGAACCGTGGCACATGTATCATACCACCAGCCTTGGACTTTGCCTTTGATTGCCATGATTTCGCTCACAGTAGCAATTATATCATCATTAGCATTCACTGCATTGATCTCCTTTTTTGATTTATTATGCCTGCAATCTCGAGCATAATGTCCAGGTTTTCCACATACAAAGCATCCATTTTTCGGACCCTTCGGACCACCGAAGTTCTTGAACTTGGTATGTTCCTTTTTTGGTGCGATGTGACTTTTCTTGACATCATGTTTTTTCTTTTCCTTTCTGGTCACAGCATTGGCTTTGGAAAGACCCGCAGATTCTGATTTTTCCCTCTCCTTCGATTCCTCCTCGATTCGAAGATGCTTCTGGATTTTCTCCAAGGAAAAGTCATCAGAACTGTGCAACAGTTTCTTTTTATAGCCTTTCCACGAACTTGGTAACTTCGCAATGATTGCACCAACTTGAAAAGTTTCAGGAATGTCTATTTTCACCGCTTTGATTTTGTTCACCAGGACTTGCAATTCATGCACTTGAGGAAGTATGGGCTTGGAATCTATAAATTTAAAATCAAAGTATTTAGAAATTAAGAACTTTTTCGTACCTTCTTCTTCGGCTTTGAATTTAAACTCCAGGGAATTCCATATGTCTCTAGCGGACGGATTGTCTGTGTATAAGTCGTATAGGCGGTCAAATAGCGTATTCAGAATATGCCCACGGCATAGTAATTCGTCCTCCCTTCGCAGCATGCGCTTCTTCTTGAGTTCGTCAGAATCATCTGCAGTTGGTTCTGGAATTGGTGTCAGATTGGGATCCAAGACGTAGTGAACCTTGAGTGCAGTAAGCAGGAACGTCATCTTGTCTTGCCATCTGGTAAAGTTGTTTCCATCGAAGCGATCCAATTTGACAAGGTCCTGATTCATAACTTTGATACTTGAAACAGCAGCGTCGGAATCCATGATACAAATACTTTTAAGATTGTTAGATAATCCTTCTATGTCGAATGGATCCAGACTGAATCGTGAACGAAATCACTTTCCTTAAAAGTATTTCAAGCACACTCTCAGATTGTCTTAGAGTTGGAACGGCCTGAATACCCAGGATAAGTCAGCCTTTTTCTCGAAACTGCACAAGACTGATGAAGTTTCGAATGCAAGGAAAATGTTGGAATTATATGGAAGAGGATTTCAGAATTTTGGAGTGAATGATTTCGAATTATGAAACATATATTTATAGCCATGCATGTGTCTTTTCAGAAGTTTGCAATTCTTCATAAACACACTCTCTAATGAGCATTTGCAATGGTTCACATAAAATATCATGCACCACTTCGTCAAGTGTCATGTATTTCAAATTCAAATTCAAAATCAAACTCTAGGCAACGAATAATTCTGAGCGATAATTAAAAATTAAATTCGCAGTATACCGGCCGAAGGCCGGTCCGCCCGCCGGAGCGCCACCGGCGCCGCCTCATTAACGCCGCGAATAGCCCGATTGCTCCGATGCGTCGTGCCTAAGTGCCGTCTACAAGCCGCCACTAGCGCCTCTACGCCCACGCCCCCGGATCCGGTTCCGGAGCCGGTGTCGCCGGTGGCGACACCGGCGAGGGGTGTTTTGTATGAGACAAGTGACATAAGTTTTGGCACCACCACATGTGACTATGTGGCACTTTATCCTTTTTGGCTCTTTTGGAAATTACATTGTTCCAAGTGCCTTATAAATGCTATTTAATTTTACTCCTTTTCCAATGTGGGACTAAGCATTTATTATAACACCCACTTTGTCATTTTGGAACAACTTTAATGGAAATAAATTATTATTTCCAACACTAAGGGAGTCTGATAAAATAGATACGAAAAGAAGTCCTATACATCAATAGTAATCAGAGTAACTTAAAATAAATAATAAAATATCTCATGAAGTCAATTGTAATCAAAATAAATGTAAAATAAATAAGAAAATCATCCTATGAATTCAATAATAATGAAACTAAGTGTAAAATAACAAAATCATCTCATAAAATCGGTATTAATCAGACTAAGCTTAAGATAAAAATCACACATTAATTTATAGGTTGCAGTTGAGCCTCCAAACAAGATCACATAAGAGACATCTAGAAAGGAGATATCAAACTTTCGACATAGGCATATGGAATCAGCCTAAGATCATGAATATTGTTTTGCATTTTAGGAGTAGTAAAAGTGTTAGTTATAGAATCATAGACAACCAAACCATATTCCCCCATGCTACAGAACTCCATCAACAATTGATCATCCTCTGAAATATATAAAACCTTCTGATAGTAGTAAAATCTACCATCTTCCGTGTGAGGAAAACTAAACAGTTTAGTCCAAGATGTATCATTCCCATATTCCTTCATGATCCAAACACTAGCAAATTCGATTCCATGAGCAAGCATAGACAAACAACCCCTCAATGCCCCCAAGGAAGTTGAAAATTGAAGCCCATAATCATATAAAGGGATTGAAAGCTTTTGATATGACTCCTTCTCTAAATCAAGAGAGACAATGACCATGCCCCGTGAAGAACTAGTATCATCTACTAACCAATTAACAGTATCATTCACAAATATTCCTTGTTTAACATGGAGGGAAGAACATGGAATATCCTGAATTCTTGTCCAATAATCTGTACCCAAAGTGTGAATGTTAACTTGCGTCTTTCTCTTTCTATCGCTGAGAGTAACAGTAGCAATAATCTTATAATTACTAGTGATATGATCATAGCCTAGCGTATATATCTTTGGAAAACATGTTTGTTTTGGAGTTTTCAAAGGAGGCAACATTTTGAATTTTCTAGTGGAAGGATTATACAAAACAGCTAAAGATTCATCTATCTCAAAACAGAGGATGCCGTCACAAGTGGAAATTTCCATAGGAGAGTGTTGATTATTGAGAAGCAATGTTACAGGCTGCTTTTCAATAACAATGGAAGCAGAGGTGAAAAAAGAGGAGATTGGGGAATGACATAGAAGGAACTCACATGAAGAGCGAGTAAATGATAGGAAGAGGCGGTGGCAGTCTTTGTTGGAGGTTGAGAAGCTGAGTTGGTTTTTGGCGAATTTGAAATCAAGAGAGATAAGAGAATTCCATGATTTGCAGACGCAACGGAGTTGAAGGAGATGTTGAACAGGGAGTCTAGACAGAATTTCTGCAACAATATCGAACGGAAGATGAGGTGCGTCAACAGAATTGGGCGGAGAAGGTGAAGTTGAGGCCGTCATATCAAAATCCTAATGGAGGACTGAAGGCAACTGCTGGCATTGAGAGTACGAATAACCTAACCATTATATATCATTACTTTATTGCCCATCTAAAAATACACGGGTAAAAAAATCCACGGGTCTCATTATAAAATATAAAACAATTCTTTTAATTTATTTGGCTTAAATTTTGTATTTTTTTTAAGTTTTGGTCTTTTCGTTTTAAAAATTATAATTTTGATCTTTTTTTAAATTTTGAATTTAATTTTAGTCTCCTCTCTAATTTAATTTTTTTTTAATGATGTAACATTATCTAAGGTAATATGTCTAATAACAGGTTATTTTTAAAAAATTAATTTTAGAATAATTAACTTATTAATATTATTTTAATTAATTAATATTTTATTATTAATTTTTATAATTAATTAATTAAATCTTAGAGAATTCAATCCTTGAAGAATCTGAGTCTCGATTTAATTAAACCTTGGAAAATTCAATCCTTTAAGAAACAAAATCAATACTTGAAGAATCTGAGTCTCCATTTGAAAAACTATGTTTAGGTAAAAAAATAAAAACATCAAATTATTTCCTTTAATATTTTTGGGCTCTTAATGTGTCCTTTAGTAATGCATTCATAATGTTGGAGTTAAATATTCATATAGTTTATTATATTTTAATTTAGTTTTCATGTTGGTATTAAACTGTGGCAAAATACTTAAATTTATTTTTAGCAAATTGAAAAGTGTTTTTTTAAATTAATCTGAAAATTGTGGTGATTATTACAATTGTGTTTTGAACGGTTTAGAACAGAAATTATGTCAGTTATAACTGATGAATAAGTTGTTGTTATTTCTATGTGAAAAATATGGCAATTGAAACTGTCATTATTTTCAATTTAAAAATGCCACTTTAAACAATGTATGATACTGATTTTAATTTTAAACCGCTATTATTTTTTCTTAAGGTAGCTAAATTTGAAGTTTTTTCTCGTATTTTTAAATTGTGGCAGTTCAAACCGCCACAATTTTCTTAAACTAATCGTCACAATTTGTGCACTTTTTTTTAATGAACAACAATATCTCTGACTTCATCAGGCATTTGGAAATCACATAACTTTATCAAATTCCTCCTATGGGTGGGCACCTGCAATAACAGGCGATATTAAAATATAAACTATCTATTCTTTTTAATTAAATAATAAATAAATAAGTTAATACAAAACATTTATACCTCTCTCGATGCTATAATCTTAGTGTCATGTGATTTAGATACACTGTGAGCAATGAAAAGTCACTATGCCCTCTAGGGAAGCTCTCATATTTGTGTACCTACCACTTCGCATCATCCTGAGCTATATAACCTTCGTCTCATCTTGAGTTTTCACCACATCGCTTGAGCCATCACCGCCATCTCAGCCTAGCCTTCCACCTCCTCACCAACTTGAACAGTCACCTCAGTGTTAGCATGAGCCTCCATCTTAGTGTCATCCCCTCCACCTCTAACTCAGTCTAAGCCTCTGCCTCAATATGAGCCTGAGTCTATATTCTCTTGAGCATTAGGTTTGCATCAAAATCTCTGCTCTGTCCAGCTCTACCTCCTCTATGCTGAAGAGTACGAGGTGTACATGACTGTTCAATAATCATCCTTTTGTGAGAATCGGTGGGGACTACTTACCCATTCGAATATAAGAACTCTCTCCATCATCTGCCTTTGCATGACAAAAGCTCTATGTCGCTCATTCAGTCTGTCTAGAAGATATCTTTTTGTCTCGTTCTCTGGTCCTTACTACATAAAGAAAAAACAAAGAAATATGACTATCAGATTTTTTTTAAATCCAAAAATTTAGCCATTGTTTTTTAAAATTCTAATTAGCAACCTCGTTATAAGAACTCAAGAAAAAACGGTATGTATGTATGCATTTTTAACGGATTTTCAAAATTGCTAGTAAAATGCATGGTAATTTACCAGACTTCTAAAAAATGCCAGTATAAATTTTGACAGTTTAATTATGGCGTTTAGTAAAAACTTCCACAATTTACGGTTGATTACGATGATTTTAGTGAATGACAAAATTTTAGTAAAAACAATGGCGGTTTTAAACGCATTATTTACTTAAATGTTTTAAATAATGTTCTTTTTAACAAAATACTTTCTCTCCTTTTTTTTCTTTTCTTTTTGTTAGTTGATTACGATGATTTTAGTGAATGACAAAATTTTAGTAAAAACAATGGCGGTTTTAAACGCATTATTTACTTAAATGTTTTAAATAATGTTCTTTTTAACAAAATACTTTCTCTCCTTTTTTTTCTTTTCTTTTTGTTAGTTTATCATTTTTTATTTAAATAATAAAATTTAATTTAATTAATATTAAATAAATAAATAAATATTAATAATAATTTTCTGGATTAAAGAGAAAACAAAACCTAATCTTGAACTATTCTTCTTCCAAGAAAATATGTTCCTCTTCAAAGAAAACCTAATTCTGGACCCTTCACCATTCGATTACCCTTAATTTTTTTTCCAATTTCAACTTTCTCTTATTCACTTTATTTCGTTTTCAATTGATATCTAATTGTAAATCATTCAAGTTCAAACCCTAACAATGATTTAAACTTAGGATTTCAATACTAGTATCAATATGGAATCCTAACAATCAACACTACTAATCATTTGAACCTTCATTTTCGCTTTGTGACGTCTCAAATCCATAATTCGTAGTTCTGCAATCAAGTTTTCTGCTACTCTGTATTTCAAAATTACGCAGTCGATCCCTGTAGAGACGATATAAATATCGGAGGGAATCCTTCCAAAACTAATTTTTTCTTTTTGCCGCTTTACTGCAGCTCGAACAACTTAACATCTTATTGACAGCAAGTTTTACCAAAATGTTGCCAATCCAAAAATCACAGAATTTACAATCCCCTCTTTTGGCAAATTTTGTCTAAAACAAGCTTAGAACAAATCAGGATTATACACAGCAGAATCACAAACAACACAAGATACATGAAACCAAGTAAGCTATGTACAGACTACAACTTTGCAGTAACATATCTGAAAGGTTCATAACACCCCCTGTCACACATAAACAATACTCCCCCTTAAGGGGAAAACCCAAATCACAAGAAAAGAAACAAATATGAGCTATCCAAGTTCAAACATCCCTCTCAAGGGAAAAAACTAAATCACAAGAAAAGAGCACAAGCTCACAAAACATAATGTTAAGACATCTATTCTGACATCACAGAACAATAGAAGCACAAACCTACCAACAATTCCCCTGAAGATCACAACCTAATGCAGAGAAATATAGATTCTTCCAGTCACGACACACCATTACTCCTTATCACAAAGAACATTCTGAACTATCTCAGAGACATATGCAACTAGAAGATCCTTCTTTAAACCACAAGCATGACAAATACTCATGTTCCCCCTCAATAGTTGCATACAGCAAGCAACCACAAAGCACATTAAAACATGATATGATGGCATGACACCCGATCCAACATCAGAAATAACAAACATACTAACACTTTACTCCCCTTTTTTAGCCAAAATTGACAAAAAATAGAGTAAATTTAAACAAAAATAAATGGAAGCACACAGTAGCAATGGGAACAAACACCTCTAATGAAAACACAAAGATAAATCATCTTCAGGTAATAATCCACATTTTTCCTCTGTCAAAAATCCTTTTGCACTCCTTGTTGTTGCCACATGTTTTAGGAGTATTGACTTTGAACTCCCTTGTCACATTCTTCAAACATGTCATCTTCAAACCAGCACTTCTACTTTGCAGAGATCTTTTATTACATCCTTTAACAATAGAAACTTGCTTGCGCTTATCATGCCTCAGAGAACAGAGGAAGGATGTAGTATTTTTGCATTCCTCAATATCTGTAATTGCTATAACTCCTTAATAGTGCAAGCGCCTAGCCCGCTGATTATGTTCTCAAATTTATTTGCATATAAGGTTTTAGTAAACATAACAGTCAGTTGTTCCTTAATGACCACGTGCTTCAAAATGACAACTCTGCCTTCAGCGAGATTCCTAATTAGTTGATTATGACTATCAGGATTCTTGTTTCATCCATATTGAATAAGATATCTGATAACATTCAGATCTTCACAATGTAATGTCTTGACATCCTGCTTGACCTTATATTCCTTTAAAACTTGTTTCATCCATACTATTTGAGAGCAATTTTTCCTAGTTTCACCATATTCAGCTTCAGCAGTACACCAAGAAGCACATGTTTGTTTCTTATTGATGCAGGCAATCTGATTGTTTGTTGGAGATAAATAGTCATAAATATCACTAACCCATTCTACCTTGCATTGTTCTTTCAGTATATCATTTGTGCTGTAACAGTGATGCATTCGACAATTCCTTGTTCCAAAGATGTAATTCAAGATCTTCTTCTCTTGAATAATAGGACTCATCCTTGATTCAGGTTTGGAGACAAGACATGAGTTTGATATTACCTTTGTAGATTCAGTGATGTCCCCTTCATTAGGGTGTTTTACAATGATTTCCTTGGATTGTTCTGTAAAAACTCTAATAGAGATACCTGTAGAAACTTGAGAGTTATCTGACACAATGCCAGTGAAATTACAACTTTCCTCTTTTCCTACCTCAATAGTCTACAAAGAGGATGTTCCAACATTGTCCTCAACATCCATCCTTTGATTTGTAATTGAATCATCAATCACCACACTAATAGATTCCATTGTCATTCCAGTTTTAGAGTTAAAGATTCTATAAGCTCTACTGCTTGAAAAGTAACTGATCTGACCTGATCAGAAGGGGATCACGGGCTGGCCACACTGTGTCGGTCTGCTACCTGTTCACCGATGATGAGGAGGAGAAGGGAGGTGTACCTGCAAGACACTCTGATGCCAAAGTGAGAAGTTGGGCGGAGTGAGAGCAAAGTACAGAAAGTGAATTACCTGACCCTCTTGTGGAAGAGGGTATTTATAGAGAGACCCCAGCGCTGGGCCAACGGTCACTTGTGTTGGGTTGGATTGCCAGGCCCAACCCAGGTGACTGCTAGGACTTACGTGGCGTAATGAAGACCAGAACATGGTCTTCGCCCTAGTCCAACTGTCCCGTGATCTCCGGAAAGTGGGTTTGACCTGCTCTTTCGGAGGTGGGCAGTTGGTTAGGTGACGTGTCCCCTCGGAGGGGATCACGTGGAGAACGTGCGTGTGGCACGTTGTCCTCCCCGCGGCGGGGAGCTCGGGAGATTCCCCGGGGGTCTGGCTTGATGGTATGAGAATACCGCCCGCAGAGGGCGGTGATTGGCCGCACGGGCGATTCACTTGCCCGACGTGGTTGGGGCGGTTCTCCCCCGCGGGGAGATCATTCTAGCAAGTCGGGGATCTTGTGCCCTATTCGGTAGCTCGTACCGGGCAGGGCCTGGTGGAACATTATTGGGCTGGGCCAGCATAGTTCATCCCGGGGCCCAGTCCAGAACAGTAACCCAGAAATATCTCTTCATCACTTATGGGGATCCATTTCACTCTTTTGATCTGTTAGCCAAGATATAGCATTTATTTTCAAAGATATGAAAGTATTTAACTGTAGGTCTTCTTCCTTTCCGTAGCTTGTAAAGAGTAACTGAAGAGTTTGCCCTCAAGGTGACCCTATTATGAATATAATATGTATTATTTATAGCTTCAGCCCAAAAGTGATATGGCGGTCGCTTAGTATGAAGCATGACTCTAGGTGATTCTTGTATAACCCTTGTCTTTTGCTCAATAGTTCAATCTTGCTAAGAAGAGATGGAAAAAGAAAATTCATACTTGATGTTTTTAGAAGCACAAAATTTAGATAATTTTGCATTCTCAAACTCTTTATTATGATAGCTTCTAACTTTGACAATCATATTATTTTGTTCCTTTTAAACCTATAATCCATTGAAAAGAATGACAATAATTGCATAAACGTGACAGTTGATACAAATTACCACATAAATACCAAATTTGCATAAATTTGTTGCATAATAGACATTAATTATCCAAGATAACTACATAATAATCTAACGATAGTATATAACCTTTCAATGATGCCAACTTAAAAGATCCAATAAAATCTAGTAATTATAAAACTTAGAACCTAGAAGGAAGGTGCAAAGGTGTAAGGAAGAGAGGCCTCAATAAAATTGGAGTCAAGTCAACCACTAAATTTGATATATTAACACAACCATAAAACAAGTATATATGTACACATGACCCAGGTACTAAATGAACATTCTGTTCAACTTTCTACCCAAATTTTTTCTATCAGCAACCAATAATCCAATTGTGTTGTCCAACCTTCATCTCACAACCTCCTCAACCCAACCAACTAGAACAACAACTAACTATCACCAATTTCCATCATTCTTAACTTTTTACATACACAAACCTAACATTAAACAAACAACATTATCATACACAAACATTTGTTTTAAGAACATGATTTAATTAATCCTAAACTATACAGATTTTTTCTCACAACGCTCCCAATAGACCACAACACTGCACCACCAATTCCACCTGATTGATCCTCTCTTTCTGCCTTCTCATGATATATCAATGGTAACTCCTTCACTTCTAAACTGCTTGACCCAATTTTCTGCCTAATAGACTCTATAATTTTTGGATCAGCTTGGTTTCCAATCACATCTGTTACATAGAAAACATTTGTAGCCATTTTTCCCATGGTGGATATTTCAGCTCTTGTAACATTAAGTCCATTTTCTCTGAAAGTTCTCATCACTTCTGCTAGAAGTCCCTTTTTGTCTTCTGTGCATAACTCTAGTTGAACACCCTGTAATCACATAATTAACAACTAATCAGTCTTAAACACTCCATAAGCCGATTCAGGTTATACTCGTAAAAAAAATGATTCGACAAACATATACCTCAGAAGCCCTTCTCTCCACAGAAGCTTTTAAGCATTGAATCACGCGTTGTCGTTCTGGTTCCGAACTAATTGGCGTGCCATCATTGTGTCGTATGTAAAACTCCTGAAATAATTAATGATTCGAAATTTGAATATCAATAAACAAAACTAAGAACATAAACTAAGCAAACATAAGTTGATGAGTAATTACCAAGTAAGCTTGGTTACTATTTGTGGTGATGGTTGCGTGAAACACGACATACTCCATGTCTGTCAAATTGCATACGACATCGAATAATAGTTTGATTCGATCCTTGCACTGAACATTCACAACTGAGTAACCCCTTTCCGCCCAATTCTGGACGGTCACTACAGTATCATCGGAAATGCTTTTGAGAATTGGAGTCCTCTCGTAGTCACGATCAGCAAACATCATTTGATGCAATCTCCTTTCACTATGCATGACAGACATAGACACAGAAGTTTTAGCAGTTCTAATGTCATTGTCTCCCTTCAAAACATTCCTTAAACGAACTTCAATCTTTTTAATCTTCTGAGAATCATCAATAGTGGCTCCGGAATCGCAGTCTTTAACATAGATCAAAGAAGCAATGCGGCCATTGTGAGTCCAAACCTTAGCTTCAACAACGTCACATTGAAGATCAGCAAGTACCGCAAAAACCTCCGATAGAAGACCAACTCTATCGGTTCCCGATAATTCAAGCGCAGTGAGACCGTTCGAGCAACTAGTCCTCACATTGTGAACACTCCCAAGCGACTGTTGCAACATACAATTAAAAATTAAGATTGATATCAACATTCAACAACATAAACAAGGATTCAACTTCTTTAGGTATAATATCTTGTTCTAACTGTCTCACCTGTTCTATATATTTTAAAACACTCTCGTCGATTAGCTTGTTTCCGTTTTGATCAACGACATGAAAAACTGTACATTGAATAGCCAATTAAGCATAAAACATAATCAAATTGAAAATTTCAAAAAGAAAATGAATTTTAGCTTACCATCCATGAACCATTTTCCATCAGAGGATATATAAGCTTTCTTAATTACAAGGTTCAGATCAATGAGAATTTGAATTGCATCAAGTAAACTACCATGTCTTCTTGCACTAATAACCTATAAATTTCATCAAAAAAAGAAACTACTATTATTAATTTGAACTTCTCAAAACTAAAATGAAAAAAAAAATTATTCCTTATTAATGTTACCTTGACTAGAGTAGCAGAAGAGCACACGGCATTGTCAATAACAACCCTGTTTCATACACAAATGTCAAAAATTGGGAACAAAAATGTTCTAGATGGAGAAATTAATGCTAGAACCTAAAAGAGATAAGAGCAGAAAAGTCAAAAATAAATAAAAATTGACTAGAAAAGTCAAGAAAATATTTAAAAAATGAAAATATTAAAATGAATTATTGCAAGCAAGATAAACCGTCATAGACAAAGAACATTCTTGCTTGCTGAAATTAACTTCTGCTGGAGTAAAAGAAACAAAAAAAGCAAAACACATCAAAAATACCTACAAATGTTTCCAAACTTAAGAAAAACGTGTTCTCATCATTCAAAATACTTGATCAAAGATTGAACAAAATTAACCAAAAAAAAAATCAAAAACTACATGTTGAAGTAAAAAATAACAAACCTTGGTGTGCTCATCCTTATTAAGAGCTTCTCATATTCGTCCGTACAAGCAGGCCACTCCATAGCTTTGTTATGATCCGACAAACCGTAATCTTTTTATCTGCTAAAACCTCAACCGTCACAAATCACCTTAACAACCTCAAACTGTGTTCTCTTTTAGCTGTGCGATCTGAGTGTTTAATACTCTTTTCTCTGTCACAAAGCACGTTTTGTTGTTCTTAACTCTTGCGCTCATGTAAAGTTGCGACCTATTTATATATGGATATTCGGTCGTTGCGATTTTTGATTATTTTGAAATTTGAAATGAAACAAGTTGTAGTAAAATATGAGAAGGTGTGGGACTGTGGGTGTTTAATGGAACACAACACATATTCAAATCACACGGCGTGAGTAGCGCATTAGCGTTGACTCGTATTACGATTTTGTGCTGTTTCACACCACATTCGATATTTAATGTAAGTGCTTTTTGGCCGTTTGATTGATCGTGTGGCTGAAGTGTTTGATCAGGTAACAAAGATAGGTGACACGTGTGACAGTTTGGGTGGGGCCCTTGTTGAGGGTGGAATTTTGCCGACCCAAATTATGGTCTCCGCACGTTAACACCGGTTTTATCGGCTTTCACTGTCTGTGTCACTTACTCCATTTTGGCCGTTTTCTTGTACTTCTCTTTGGAGTCGTGTATTATATAATCAAATTTTATGGTAGAAGCTCTTATATTGAGAGGGTTATGCATCTCCAATTCAGATATTTTCTTTGAGTTTAGTTTTTTTCAGGGATCTAAATGGTTCTAGTAGAAATACTAAGAGAGTTAGAAATTGTAATTTAATAATTTTTTGAAAGTTAGTATTCATTTTCGTTGAAGTAATTAATATTGATGGAAGAGTCATTTGTATTCCACTCTATCAAATAAATTATATAATTGTATCAAAATATAATTTGTATTTTTGTATTTTATATTTTGAATGTTTTGTATTTAGAATTGATTTGTATAATTTTGGGTATGAGATTCATATGCTTAAAAGACATTGTATTGTATGATGTAAATCATAAAAGAATTTCATTCAATACAAATTCTAATTTGCATAATTTAATTTATAAATTTTATCTCTTTTCTTTCTTCTTCTTCTTCCATCTTTCGTTTTTAGTTAGGTTTTTTTTCATATATTGTTGTTTCATTTTATTCCACTTTACTTCTAAAATATGGTATTTTTTCGATGTTATTGTGAATAAGAATTAGTTTGTTCCAAGAATAAGAATTTCTTCCTAGAATAAGGAAAATATATTAGATTTTGATTTGTTCTCATTAAATATAATTATTTAACATAATTACATATATAGCCATGTAACTTCTATAAATATAAGAAATAACTATGAGAAAGACACCAAACCAAGAATTATTGACATGGTATTAGTAGGTTTTCAATCAAACCAGTGAGTTTTAAGTTAATCTTGGCTTTATTCAGCGACACCCCACTAGGTCGCTCTTGAAATCATCTCGATAGATCTCAGATCTCGGAAATCTTTTCTGAGATTGCGATTCTAATCTTTGGTGCTTACAACCGTGTTCTCGTATCGGTGTCGGCAAGTATCCTGAATTGGAGTGTTGACTTGGTGTCAATAAGTATTTTCTTCAGTGTTCCATAACTTTGTTTCATATTTTCTTCCGTTGGTAATTTTTTGTTTCACGTTAACAAAATTGTTACGTGCAGTTGTTTCAGATTGAAAAAACAATAATTTTGTTGTTACGTGGTGTAGTGCCTACTCACTGTTTCATGTTGATAAAAAAAAGAGTTAATTTTATTGTTATGTGGTGCAGCCTGTGGCTTTCAATTCCTCACATGACTTAGTATTTGTTCTTAAGTCATCTCTATTGTTATGGCTTCCAAAAAAGAAAGAGATCATATTTGCGTTCGTTTTACCGGAAAGAATTATCCTACTTGGGAATTTCAATTCAGAATGCATGTCAAAGGAAAGAAATTTTGGAGTCACTTGGACGGTCTCTCTAAAGCACCGACAGAAAAAGTTGCTTTAGAAGAATAGGAATATAAAGATGATCAGGTTATCACTTGGATTCTGAGTAGTATTGATCCTTAAATGATTAATAATTTGCGCTCATTTTCCACTGCTCAAGAAATGTGTGACTATTTGAAGCGTATTTATAATCAAAACAATGCGGCCAAGCGTTTTTCAGTTTGAGTTAGAGATAGCTAATTACAAACAAGGTACCTTGTATGTTTAAGAATACTATTCTGGTTTTTTGAATCCGTGGAAATGATCCGCTGTCGCGCGCGGATCAAAACGAGTTATTTTTGTAAAAACGTAGTATCGTGGTAACAGCAACTCAGATATCATCTCATAAGGATTCTTGATTTTATTAACTAACAATACAAACGATTAATAGGGGGTTTGTTTGGTTTATGATCGATTAAACAACGAGGTTGCAATTAAGCGGTTAAAATAAGTGATTATCAAAATAAGTCAATCTACTGTTTTCGGTTCCGGCTTATCACGGGTTTCTACCTTACCAATTTCCTAAGCGGCTTCGATCTCTATTTGATTCCTATGTCAATTGACAAGCGCAAAAGACATAAACTAGATTGACAATCCTATATTCCGAATTAAGCAAACGGATTAAGCTTTTGTGAATTAAGCAAACACGAATTACAAACGCGAATTAACGACAAAGCGACGTAACGGCAAATAAAAGTTAAGGATGCAATCATACGAATTTAATCAAGACAATTCTATAAACTAACAGATTAAGCAAATGCAATTCATAGAATAGTATTGAAAGAGAAACGAATTAAATTGATAAAGTATAAACCTCAAAGCGTTGGAACTTGATTACAGCATATTGACTCTCAGGAATTAGTTCTCCACAAGATTCAAAATATTTTTGTCAATAGTGTTTCAGATCCTAGACTGTACGTCCAGACCTAGACTAAAGAGGAGATAAAAGAGAATTCGGGTCATAACCCAACTGGGTCAAATAAACATAACCCAGACCCAAAACTTAATAAAACTAACGTTGTAGGTTCAAACGAAATTCTAGAAAAATATGCTCTGAATCAGATTTCGACTCCAACACGAAAGTCGTAGCTCTCTCTCTTAGCTTTCCGGCGATTATTAGAACGCCTCAAATGGATTCCAGGAACTCCAGTTATAATCGTTTTTGTGCAGACTGCTAAAGCTGAAAAATAAAGTGCGAGAATCAAATTAAACCAAAAATAAAATAAAATATAAATACATAATAAAACATAAGAATTATCAAAATAAAGTAAAGAAATGCCTAAGTAAAAATATAGGAGAATGTGCATAAAGATGCACTGATCAAATTCCCCCACACTTGAACTTTTGCACTCCGAGCAAAATTAAAATCAAACAAAACAAAGAAAGCACAAACACATCAACAGTTACTCATTTCAGGCTACAAGTCTTCTTCGGTTAAGTTTGCATCGATAGGTACTAATCTTACACACTAAGGATATCGTAGGAACACCAATCCATAATTGTGCAGACATAAGCCTCCTGAATACAGAAATCAACTCAAATCATGTTATTATGTTAAAGCCTAACTTACTCATCCTCCTTTTTGCTCTTTTTCATTCAGGCGCAATCACATTAAGCCTGTTATCTCCACACACTCATAGCAAGGCGACCGGTTAGTGACTCTGATCCTTTTTGTGTAGGGTTCTGGTACTTAGGTGGCATAACCATTTGCTTACTCAGTTGTAGTTGCGGGGGATCGGACCGTAATTCGCTCTACCAAGTTCAGCACCAAAAACCGCTGAACCAACTAACAACGAGTAATTTTTTCAACTTTTTTTTGAAGGCTCTACATCAGTTAGAAGGTGTATTCCTTTTCTTTTTCTTTTTTTTTTCAAGCTAAAAATTTGATCACTCACTTATATTCATCGGCTTCCCTGCGTAGAGTGTGTATGAGATGGTGATGACTGTTGAAATAAACTACTCAAGAGCTGTCAGAGAATGAAAATTTAAGGCTAAAACATAAAGGATATTCAAATCAATTTCCATATGCAGGAGACTTACGGTGTTAAGACGATACCGATCTTGTAAATTTTTCCCAAGTCTCCGCAAACTAATCTAAAATTAGTCTTTAGCCTAGAACTTTCAAAAAGATGCAAAAAAAAATTTATTTTTATTATTATAACTGAAAACAAACCAAAACAAAATAGTAAAAACAAGTAAATAAAACAAAGGTTTCCTTCCCCCAGACTTAAAACAAGCATTGTCCTCAATGAAAGGACATAATTATTAAAGTAGAAAGAAGGAAAGAACAACTCCTTGATCAAGTTGCAGTGTAGTTAGGCGCTTCCAAAGAAAGTTCCTCTATACCGACATCTTCAGGCACCGAACTTTCATAGAATAACTCCAGACGCTGCCCGTTAACCTTAAAAACTTTGTCAGTACCTGCACTTTTAATTTCTATTGCACCATGAGGGAAAACATTAGTAACAACAAAGGGGCCAATCCATTTGGATGGAAGTTTCCCAACCATAAGCTTAAGGAGAGAATTAAACAATAAAACCTATTGGCCCACAGAAAACTCCTTTCTAGAAATCATTTTATCATGGAAGTGCTTAGTTTTTTCTTTATAAATCCTAGAGCTTTCACAAGCCTCTAGTCTAAGCTCTTCCAGCTGTTGTAATTGGAGTTTTCCTTTAATACCTGCTTGTTGCATCTCCAAATTACAAATTTTCACCGCCCAATAGGCACGGTGTTCTATCTCAACAGGAAGATGACATGCCTTACCAAAAACAAGTCGATAAGGAGACATCCCAATGGGTGTTTTGAAAGCTGTTCTTTGAGCCTAAAGTGCGTCTTCTAGACGACGACTCTAGTCCTTCCTGTTCGGTTGCACCATTTTCTCTAAAACGTGTTTGATCTCCCTGTTTGAGATCTCAGCTTACCCATTAGTTTGTGGGTGATATGCAGTAGAGACTCTGTGCACAACTCCATACTTCAGGAGCAAGGATTCCATGGTGCGGTTACAGAAATGAATGCCTTGGTCACTGATGATAGCTCGCGGTATTCCAAACCTG